AAATATAATGAAACCCTAATTTTTCGCTCTTCGGACATTATGACAAAATGCAAAATAACTTAACGAACAAATATTTTGGAAGATGTGAAGGATCCTGAATGGATTTTTACCAAATTCTAAAACTCTTTAAATAAGAAAAAAATAGTTTGTGGATACAATTATTTGATGTATAGCACATGCATAATAGACATTATATATGTAACACGTATACTCCATGCGCTATACCCATATGAATTGGTGGGTCACTAAAGTGCAGTTGAATTATTGGTGGGGCAGCAAAGTTCAAATATAACGCGTTTATTTACCGGGTTATACCTTAACAGACAAATGTGTCGTTAAGGTATAACCCGGTGAATAAACGCGCTAAATATAAAATAGTAATCAATTTTTTTTTTCCATATATTTTTATCGTTTGAGTCCAAAAGAACCACACTTTGGTTCCGGACTCAACATTTACATATGCGGATCTGCCCGACCGGGCCCAAGCATAAAAGATCCTTCCTGACAGAGTGTGCAACACGAGTCAAATCTCTCTGACAAAGACGGACCCGAAAGAGAGGGTATTGGTTCAGTTTCTAATGCTTACTATGAAGGGAGCAATCCATGAAGAATCAAATAACAAAATTGGTAGCCAATGGACTCTACAAAGAAGCCATTAACTTGTATTCCCAGCTCCACTCTTCTTCTTTTGTTCCCACCAAATTCACCTTCCCCTGTCTCTTCAATGCCTGCGCCAAGCTAAAGGCTATTCCACAAGGCAAAATACTCCATACCCATTTGATTAAATACGGATTCGGCACAGATGTATACGCAGCCACATCTCTTACTGATATGTACATGAAACTCACCTTAGTGGACAGTGCCTTAAAGATGTTCGACGAAATTCCTCAACCAAATATTGCTTCAGTAAACGCTACCATTTCTGGGTTTTCCCAAAACGGGTATCATTTTGAAGCTTTTCGGATGTTTGGGATGTTATTTAGTAGTTTACAGTTTAAGCCGGATTCGGTTACTATAGCTAGTATTTTATCAGGATGTGTGAATAGTAATCATGGCGTTCAAATGCATTGCTGGGCTATAAAGATTGGTGTGGAAATGGACATATATGCAGCTACTTCGCTTTTGACTATGTATTTGAATTGTGCTGATTGTGTTTCTGCTACGAGGTTGTTTGAATTGGTTCAAAATAAGAATGTTGTGTGCTACAATGCTTTTATTTCTGGGCTGTTGCAAAATGGGGTGGATGAAGTGGTCCTGAGTGTGTTTAAGGAGATGAAAAAGTCACTAGACGAAGAACCGAATGCAGTGACTTTAATATCTGTTCTTTCTGCTACTGCTAATCTTAAGAATTTGAAGTTTGGTAGGCAAGTCCATGCGTTTATTGTGAAAGTCGAGTTACAATCTCATACAATGGTTGGAACTGCACTTGTAGACATGTATTCGAAATGCGCTTTTTGGTTATGTGCATATGAAATGTTCAAAGAGATGGGTGGCAACAGGAACTTGATAACGTGGAATTCGATGATTACTGGAATGATGTTGAATGAGCAAACAGAGAAAGCTGTTGAGCTTTTCGTGGAATTAGAATTGGAAGGATTGAAACCAGATTCAGCTACATGGAATTCAATGATCATTGGGTTTTCTCTGCTGCAAAAAGAGGCTGAAGCTTTTATGTTCTTCAGAAAAATGCTTTCTGCTGGTGTCATTCCCAGTATGAAATCTATTACTAGTCTTCTGACGGCGTGCTCGTCTCTATCCTCACTCTTTTGTGGCCAGGAGATTCACGGATATATTCTTAGGGCAGGAAAATCCATAGATGAATTTGTTGTCACCGCAATTATTGATATGTACATGAAATGTGGGCAATTTTCTTTGGCACGTAAGGTTTTTGATAAGTTGGAAGTAAAATATGATGATCCAGCTGTGTGGAATGTGATGATTTCAGGGTATGGAAGGAATGGAGAAGGTGAAGCTGCTTTTGAAATGTTCTCTCTGATGCTAAAGGAGAAAGTACAACCAAATTCAGCTACTCTGAATTGCATTTTGTCTGTGTGCAGCCACGTTGGTAAACTAGAGAAAGCATGGCAAGTTTTTAATTTGATGATCACAGATTTGGGCTTAACCCCAACTCTAAAGCAACTTAATATTATGGTTGATCTACTTGCTCGGTCTGGTCAGCTGGATGAAGCTAGAGAACTATTACAGCTCATTCCCAAACCTTCGGCATCTGTTTTTGCTTCTTTATTAGCAGCTTCTGAGCACTACTCTAATGCCAAGATGGGAGAAGAAATGACCAAAAAGCTCTCAGAATTGGAGCCAGAAAACCCTGTTCCCTTTGTAATTTTATCCAACCTTTATGCTAGACAAGGAAAATGGGGCGATGCTGAACGAATCAGAGAAACAATCAATGAAAGGGGACTCGAAAAACTACCAGGCTACAGTTCTGTAGGAGTGACATAAAAAGGAACATCTTTTACATGTTAAAACTGGTCAAACAGACTACTGTTGGATCTTATGCCTGATGTGCATGACATGGGTCTCGCTCTTATTTTTGACTTGCATCACTGCCCCAACATTCCTTGTTCAAGAAAATCCAAAATCGAATGTCAAAGAAGTTGGTGGTTCAAAGATGAAGCAAGAGATGAGATCACTAAGTGCAATCACACAAATACTTGAATAACCTTGCCACTTGTCACAGATCCTGTGAACTGACTTGGAAGCAAGGCTGTACGAAGAGTTGGATCAAGCTACTGTGTTATTTGTGTGACGACCTTCATGGCACCATGTGTTGCCGAAGCAATTGTTTGTGAAGTCCTTTCCCAGTCAGCTTCCTTCAATTAGGATGGGCAAATAGCAATACAAAAAGTAACAGGAAACATCTATAAGCTTATACGATAAAGGTCAAATCATTGTGACGTTGAGTATTAGTTTGAATGTGATTTACTGTGGTCACTATTTTCTGACTTTTGTTGTCTAGATTAACCACCCGAGTTGTCTCTTAACTGCAAGTGTTGTGTTTAGTTCATCCGTGAGAAAGCCTCTCTTGTAATTGCAACTCTACTGATTCTGGAAAGCGTCCAATTTTGTTCTCATTTGCCTGGATATTTATTGAATCAGTCTGTCACTTTGGAAACCAATAACCTGGTGCAGAGGTGGAAAACTTTGAAATTGGCATCAACATTTTCTATTATCTCAAGATAATAGTAGCTTATCAGTAGCTAAGAATAGCTGACCCCCTTGGGGGACAGGAAAGGTGGCCAAGCTAGATGTGGAATAAGCAGAAATGCAGTCAAAACCAAATCCTTTTGCATCCTTCAAGAACTGGCTTTATGCCCAATTTTAGCTGTGAAGTTCTTAAGGAATGGTATACTGTTCTGATCACAGGTGCTTTGCAGACAATATTTTGATTGCACTAGAAAGCCACTCAACATGGAAGCATCCGCGCTGCTGGAATGAAAGGTGACCAATCGTAGTAGCTTATGATGGACCTCACGTTATGTAGGTTATCATGTGTCTCAAGAGGATGACATATGACTCTAAATTCATCATAAATTCTCTCCTAAAATTGTAGACTTTTGATGTACTCAAACTAGTCATTAATGTTCATTCTTGAGAGGTTTGTAGGCAAACTGAAGCTCCAAACAGTTGGACGTAAACACCAGTAGTAGGGGAATCTCTGTTGATATGCCAAACCGCTGGAATTTTTCTTCTTCCTTTTTTTTATTTCCAGTGTCAAACCGCTGGAATTAAATTATCTAAGCACAAAGATATGCTTTTGTAGGCCAGCTAACGCCATAAAGGGCTGGTGGGTGGGGGTAGAGCCTCTAGCGTCAATGTCGAATCCCCCGCCGGCCATCAGGGATTGAGTGGTAAGGCCATGATCCGCAGGGGAACAGTCATGGATAATGAAATTACGAGATCCTTCTTAATGAGCTAAGAGAATCTGATTTATTCTCTTTCGTTTTGTTAATCGAAGAAATAATTGAAAAATAAAAGAGCAATGAACAAAGGCGAAAAAGCTCAAGTATTTTCCCTTGGCTATTGTCGGGTCAGAGAAGATAACTGCATAATCTAGGGAATACAACAACATAAGAACGAGAAAGTACAGGAATAGAAAGAATCACACGATTCCCTATCGTGATAGAAGCAACAATAGGATAGGAATGCACTGGACTCTCCTCTGACTAGAAGAGTTGCGCCTAAGACTCTAAAACGAAGGGAGGTGGTCCCAAGCATTGCCTATATGGCTTTATAGCACCAGCATTGTTTGCAAGTCACGTCAGTGTAGGCGCAGCAGAGCGTCATGGTAGTGCTAGCTATGCTTGACTAATAGGATGAGTCACATTTTATTTCTCCTTAGTTTCTGATGTAGGGCGATTAGTGCTTCCTCCTGCTCACTCCAACCATTTTCTGGCTGCGGACGAGGTATACCTTCCCATAAATTTTAGGGAACTACCCCATTGCAACCATCAATCGATCTGGGAAGAGAAAGGGAGAGAGAGAACCCAATTTATCGACAAAGACAAATATTTACTCCATGGACTTGACCTCTGTTAGGAGTTAATGCATTTTGAAAGATCAAAACATGATTAAACAATTTACTGTTCTTCCTCTGCTAGTAAGGGAGCCAACAATCCAGTTCTATGATTTGCCATCTGGTTTTGGTTTTGGTGAATTCTGAGGAAACTGATAATGATGTGGAGAAGCATGAGAACCATTTGGAATTGAGAGACTTCTTGGAGGCAGTTGTCCATTCCTTGAGAATGATCTCTGTGTTCTAAGGCCATCTTTGGTATTTGGGCTGAACCCAACTCGGTCCGCTTGCATGGTCTGAAAATAGTAAGATGAACTTGCCATGTCCTTGAGACTTGGTAATGGCTTTAAGGCTTCAACCACTTCACTCATCATAGGTCTGACTTTGGGATCCCGGCTAAGGCACCGAGCAGCCAACTGTGCAGCTTTTTGGGCGCCTTTAATAGAAAAATGACCTTCAAGTCTAGGATCTATCAAGCGGTAAAATCTCCTCCTTTCACCCAGTTGTGGCCGCGCCCATTCAACAAGGTTGTGTTCGCCGTTGGGCCGGTTCTTGTCCATTGATCTCCTACCTGTTATCATTTCAAGCAGAACTACACCAAAACTGTACACGTCACTCTTTGATGTCAGATGTCCTGCAACAAGAGAAGTGCACACACTTCAATCAGTAGTAAGGAACCAATCAGCCAGCTAATGCAAGTTTTAGCCAAAGATGTAAAAAATTTACAAGATTCTTCAACTCGGGTACATGTTTTGGACCAGCAAAAAAAGTCTTATTTTTTCGGGGAAAGGCGGCCAGTATAAAAAGTGTTTTTTTCTTTTTTTGGTTGTGGAAAGGTGACCAGTATAAAAAGCATTAGCAGCATTTGATGACGTTGACTTGGCCATTCGAGTCAAATGTGCATTAACATTGTAAGAAAAGAGAACTACCAAGGCTCAGTCTTACCTGTCATCACATACTCCGGGGCTGCATAACCATATGTCCCCATGACACGCGTAGAAACATGAGTTTTGTCACCCTCTGGACCATCTTTGGCAAGTCCAAAATCAGAAAGTTTGGCATTGTAATCCTGATAAAACATGTAATTAGAACAACGATGATGACTGGAAAGACCAATTTAACAATGTGTTTGAACATACCGCATCCAGCAGAATGTTGGATGTTTTGAAATCACGGTATATCACTGGTCTTTCTGCTTCCTCGTGAAGAAAAGCAAGACCTTTTGCCGCACCAAGAGCTATCTTCATGCGGATAGACCATGGAAGGGGCAGGGACCCTGAAGATAAATACATCATCAGCACTAAGTACACAATAGAACACAAGAAGTTTTACTTCAATAGTACTCATAAGAACATACCATTTGCTCTAGCAATTCACAAGTCTAAATGCACCATCACTTATAAAAAAGTCAGGCTTCAATTCTGAATAAGAGGAAAAGTGAAAAAATAAAAGCCATCATCTTTTGGTTATACCAAAAAGCATCATCAACATAGAAACCAGTGTAAGGTTATTTTTTTTGTAGGGCAGCACGCTGCATGAAGTATCCCGCATTCACGCAAGGTCCTGGGAAAGGCCGCACCCCAAGGAGTGATATTTGCAGCCTATCCTGAAGTATCAATGGTTGATTCCACGGCTCAAACCCTATCAAAGAAAGAAAACTTTACCGCTGCCCCAAGGCTCCCCTTCAAGGTTATTTTTTTGTATGAAATCATTTTTTTCTTTCCCATGAAAGGCAACCTCCCCTAATTTCCCTTTCTTCCAGCCAACTCAGTTAAATTGACCATTACCAACTGCTGAAGCATAGAGAATTTAGGAAATGCTTGAAAGGTATATAGCTTACTATTGCCAATCAACGATCAAGGACTTTTAGCAATAGCAGTGCAATGGAAGCTAGCAAGTTAATTGACCAATTTCCATTGAACAAATACCAACAAGTTTCTAAGAGAAAATGACGCCAAGAATAGATGCCGCATTTAGTGGGGCACAAGGCTTCTCGAGTAGGTTTTTAAGAGTTCTAGGCTAACTCGATCCAAAAATAAGGTTACTCAATCCTATTATCTCTATAATCTTTTTTTAAAAAAAATATTTTTGATGTGCTTCTAATTGGGATGCTTAAATTGACTATTCCCCCCTCATATAAAACCTAAAGTCAAAGAATATCATTTGTTTTGGTTAACTGGAAATGAAAGTCCTAGTGCAGCAAGCATTGAGCGTGGCAAAGAATCGTGCTGGCTAAGATCAAGCTTGAGACAAGTATTACAATCTCCAAGCAAGAACTCAAGTCAGAACTTGTAGGCTCAGTTGAGCCAAAGTTCAAGCTTAAAGTTGGTGTTTCGAGTCATTTAGCAGAAAAAAAAAAGAAGGCTGGAACTTCGAGCTAAGGGAACCAAGAATGGTATATGGCAACAATTCCACTTGTTCACTAGAGCACCATAGTTACCTCAATGCACCGTACAAATGATTGAAAGTTTCTTTTCTGAAGAAAATGGAGATGACAAACACCATCACTTTAAATTAATCCATGAGCCTAACTCAGTGACGTCGAGGACATGATAGAATCTCCAAGTGGATGATCGTGCTAGCTTGAATTAGTAAATACTAAAGATATTTCGCTAATCAAGAGAATGTAACTATGAAGAAGCTGCTCTCAATCCTGCCCGGAAGCAGGAGATTAGCAGCTAATAAATAAGGCATAGTGACTGTTTGACAGGAAGTTGGTACAAAATTATTTAGTCAGGAAAAATCCTCAGCAGATATGTTACAACAAAACTTGTTAAGAGCTTGTTTCCTTAGCCATTTCGGGTTTTTTGATTAGATTCACACAGTAGTGAATTTTGTAGGCATTAGTAGGAGTTATAGCTGTAGTGGATCACGACAGTGGGTATTGACACTTGACAGGTGCTTAAAGTGGTTATATGACAATCAGACAACTATTATTTTGGTTGTAGAGCTGGAAATATTTTTGATAAGCAGTAGAGCGCAAATTGGTGGCCTTAAAGACATAAGTTGTTTTTACCCCAGTAGTGCGAAATGCATTTCCCCATAAAAGATTGTTTCCACGATTATTCAGGTAACCAAACATTAGAAAATAGGAAATACAATTCCATGAGAGAGATTCTATATCCTACAGGCCCATGTTAGCTTTTGTTTTAAATATAAAGACAGCCCCATGTTACCCTTTTTGACATTCAAATTTTCATGCTCGTGAATTGCATTCTACCATAGAAAATAAGTTTTATTTTAAAATGAGACATCACTTAGTCATATATTATCATCATAGAAAGTTGAACATCACCAATAGAACTCAAGTTATATTCCCAAAAAGTTTGAGAAGCCACGTATCTCTTACTCATCCAAGTAATAACATTACCACTTGACTAAAGCGAGTAATGTTGACAAGGAGACCAGTTATATGCATGGAATTAACATTTGTATTTTAACTTAACCAAGAATGTATCACAAGAATATCTCAATGTGATAAATGAAAGACGATTTTCACAACAGATCTTTAGTAACATTATCGAATATATTAAAGAAATAATTTTGTAAAGCATATTAGAGAAGGGTCAATTACGTACTCCTGAAAAGATGATTTTCCAAGCTTCCTCGTGGCATAAATTCATAAACTAATAGCCTCTGATCATCTTCAATACAGTAGCCAATTAGGTTAACTAAATTTTGATGAATGAGATCGCTAAGATAATTTACTTCGGCCTGCCAAATTAGAATTTAACAATATAAAACTAAAACAAAAATCAACAAAAAACAAAAAGGACAAGGAAATTTATGAAAAAATTTTAGAAATCAAATCAATAGAGAAGCTGACCAGCCATTCTTTATGACCCTGAAGCCCATCATGATTTAGAGTTTTCACAGCAACAGTAAGCCCTGTCCCGGGTTTGACAGGTGCTGTCCCATTCTCTTCAATCCACCCCTTGAAGACACAGCCAAAACCCCCTTCACCAAGAAGGGATTCTGGTCTGAAGTTTCTCGTGGCCAACTTCAAATCATTAAATGTGAACTTCCGAAGCCGAGAAGAAACTCTAAGTTCCTCTTCAAGTTTAGAGGTAGA